CCCCTGACATTCTGTGATTCTGTGATAAAGCTTCCTTCTCTTGAGCTGGTGTTCACATCAGAGGACGCATCCCTCAGTTGCAAAGCTGAAGGCCCAGCTCAGTGATACTCTGCTTTCAGAAGGGGACTTCTCTGAGGCATATGCAGACACAGAAGTGGGAAAAACATACTTTCATCTCCCCAGCCAATAGAGCCTCTCAAGACCCCATGTAAGCTGACAAGTTCACCTTCAGCAACTTGGGGACCTCACTGAGGGTACCCAGAGCATCTGCTCTTGCAGAATTTGTCCACAGTGGACTCCGCTCCTCCTGACATCTACTGAGGTTTTTAAATGTATAAAATGCAGGTGCCTTTTAGAGGTGCCTGTTTTCTTATCTCTGATCCAATATAATCACTGAAGAATTGTGGCTGTGGCCAAGGAAACACTGTGTGATCTCATAAGCAAAGCCCGGCCAGTCACCTGAACCACTGCCATTCCCTGCATGTGTGTGTGTATTTGAAGCAGGATTTATTTCTTGGCAACTGGAATTTTCCCCCTCCTTTCATTGTAATTGGGAGTTACAATGATGTAAGATCATGTAAGGGTGTTGCTCTGAAAGGTTTACACAGGGCCGCAAGACATGAAAACTCATTACATCATCGGGTCACCAGTCCATGGTCATTGCTTTAAAATGATGTGGATTTTTAAAAAGAAAGTTGGAAGTGATTTTTTCATTTGTCATCTGGCCTCTGAGCCTCTACAGGTGCAGTTGTTCTCCATTGGCAAGTTTTTTCCATGCATTCATAAGGACAAAACAAGGGGTTTTTTTAATTTGGGGGGTTTTTTCTGTATAAAATTTGTTCCTGGCACTATCTTTTGGTTCTAGCTAGTAGAAGTATCAGAAGAACATTAAATGGTACAAAGAGCTCAATAGAAACACAAGCATTAGCAACACTATCTAAGTGCTGTGATATCAGGTAGCCATGAAGTTAGATTATTTCACCACTGCCCAGTCTCCATCACACTAAGTTTGAAAGAAACGCCTTAACAGGAAGTGGGAAAAAAGCTGTTAAAAGGGAGAAGATTGAACAATCTATTTGAAACAATAAAATCTGATTATTTACATTTATTTATCTTTATATTCTTCTATATCAATTATATGGAATATAAAAAATACATAGAACATATATTCCATATATTCTATATAGAGTTCTATATAGAACTGTATAGATGGATTAGATAGAATATATTTGTGTTTATATTTGGAGACATTAATGTGCACAGGTATGTTTGCACTGTTGCATACCCAAGGTCTACTCATTTTGCTCCTAAAGAACAGAGTTAGGATTTGGAGCCCAAGGTGAGTACTGATCAGCTAATTCTGTCATCATCCTCCTACTGTGAGTGATCTGAGACCACCGGGTTTCTCTGGCACTCCTGTCTGAGGGGTAGCAGAGCCAGTGGCCATGCAGGAGGATTAGCACACCTCTCTCCCCGTTAATCCCTCTGATTTATGTCTTAACCTTCACTGACACCCACTGCAGTCGTAATCGCCCCCATGTTCACTGCCTTTTACTCCTCATAGTTTAAACAGTCCTTGCCAACCTTTTGGGCCTTGTAAGTCTCACCTCTTTTAAATTATGAAGTGTTTTAATAATTGAGCAGTACTGTTAATAGCCTACCCAGCCTTACTAACCCTTTAATAGTTAAAATCTTAATAAGCAAACAGCATCAAGTGAGTTTCTCTGCTTATCACCTTCCTGCAGCATAATGAGGCTTTTTAGCTCTTTAGCTCTTTAGGTTTAAATCTTTTGTATTAGGTTTATAGCTCACCAGTGGCACGACAACCTTCTCAGACATAATTCTAAATGGATGTTTCCAAGTGGAATCTTGGACTTTGCATTCAAATGACCTTACTTCTTTTCATTATTATTATTCTTTCCTGTATGCATTTTTCATCTTGCTTATTCTGAATTCCTTCAGCACTTATTAGTGCAATAAACCTAATTCTGTATACTTGTACACCCTAAGTGTGGGAGCCATAAATACTTCTGCAGTCTCTTCAGGACAAATCAGCTGTAACTGGATCTCTCATTGCTTCATGGGAAAAAAAAAAAAAAGCAGGCACATTCCAGCAGAAGACAATTCTTTATCTGTGTCTGTGTGTTTGTGTCTCTGCTGCCCTTGAGTAACGCTTTGTTCTTTTGCTCCGCTCCAGGCTGAGTTCTCCGAGCTGAACCTGGCTGCTTACGTCATGGGCGGCTGCATGGTGGACATGCAGGTCATGAGGAATGGCACCAAGGTGGTAAGGTGAGGAGCACCAGCTTGTCTTGAAAAATTGGGCTTTCTGGAGCAATATTGGGGCAGGAGGATGACCTCAGGGTCTGACTGGTATCTGAACTAGGGCAGTGTGGCCTTGATGACTTCAAGGTTTCCTGGAAGTGATGGAAAGACTGACCTGGCTCTGGTGGTTTTGTATCAGGTCTCAATGGCACATTATGCCATACAGTCGTTGTTTCCAGTCTAGACCCTTCATGCAACCACAAATGCCTCTTTTTCAGTTCTTTTTGGCCTCAGACCTCTCAGTAAAGGGATGGTGGATCTTCCTTTCCCTTGATTTTTCTCTCCTTCTATGTCAGCTAATCTTCATTGCACACAGTGGCTTGCATTCATTAGCCTACCTGTGTGAAGTCCTGATCCCAGTGGACTACCCTTTCATTAGCCACAAAGACGAAAGTGATCCCAACTCTCAACAGCTTGATTTGCTCCTAAATTATCTTTTTTTTTTTTTTTTTGCCAGAGATTCCCAATGCTCTGGCCTTGTCCTGTGGTATATCTTGGAGGTAATACCGTATCTCTCATGGGGATTTCTGTCCCTACTAGTATTATTTCGTAACTGCAGTCACTGCAAGCAGACTCTCCCTGAGCAATGCTTCCCTAATCATGCGTCCAATTCATTTTCAAAAAGGATTGCTCCCCTTCTTTCTGACATCAGAGTGCCTGAAATGTTAGGTGCATTCTTACTGGTGCTAAACAAAGAGCAGTGTAAAGTGTCACATCTGTGTACGACAGTAAAACGCCTGTTTACATAGCCCTGATATTACTTTTCACTCTTTTATTCCCAAGCCTACATTTTTATGAGTTTCTGTCATTACAACACTACCTCTACACTTCATCTTTGATACAACAGTTCTTTGCCTGTATTGAAATCTCATTGCTATTCCAAATCCATTTTCCTAACCTCCCTACTTGTTTTTGTACAATTCTTTTGTGCTTTTTGGTGTATCCAGCGTTTCCGAGTTTAATATTGTTCACATGTTTAATCAACGCTTGTGTCTGTTTGCTTCTAGTTCAGAAATAGAGACACATAATGCAGCATGCAAGGATATTTTTGAAAAGGATTATGAGAACAGCTGAAAACCACTGATTCTGAGTGTGCTGCCCTCAGTTTAATTTCTCAAGATGTCATTTCCAGTCCAAACAGTGCAAAGCAACACTTGTCACTGTCAATTAGCTCTGACGGTGGTCCATCAATTCATTTAAGGTCTTGACAGCACTTAATACATCCACAAGTTCTTCTGTGCAATTTCACAAGCCTCTGCTAAAAACTTTTAAGGTTGAGTCTGTTACATCCATTTGCTTTCTCGCATCCCACAAATGTCTGTTCCTCAGTGAAACAGAGCGAATGTCCCGCGAACCAGCCGCTGGAGCATCGATTAGACAGCATGTTGGGCTAATGTGCTCTTGCATTCGCCTGCTCACGACGCTGGATGGCTTCCCAAGAACTATTTCCTAGGTTGATCACATCTTCATTTTCCTTCCCATGCCTTTCCTCCCAAAGCCATTCATACATCTGGCAGAAAGATCTTGAGCTATTAAACTGAAACTGAAGACAAAATTTATTTCACAAGTGTCTGGGGCATGGTGTTTCATGTTGCTGCTCGCCATAAATGCACAGGTATTAGAGCTAGCCTCTTTGCGTGGATATTTATATATGGAAATGCATGTTTTTGTCAGTGGTACTAGGTCAGTTCTTTTGTTTTTGACTATGCATGCTTAAGGACACATGTTTTTGTGTGGGGGGAAGTGGATTTGGCAAATACACACTTGCTGGATACCAAATTCATATGGTATGTGTTGTCCGTGGTTTGTTACAGTCCTATAACAAACCCAAGCACTAGATATTTGTTTACCGCCTGTGCTGATGTGCCCCTGTCCTGCCCAGCTGTGTGAGTTTAATAGCCCAGACCAGCCAACCTCCACAGACACTCTTACCAACACTTTAGAAGTTACAGAAATAAAAACTTTTCCTCACTTTAGAAGGTGAATTATGAAGCATACTGCTACTGAGCTGTTTGGAGATCCCTCGGCCCATCCACATGGGTGCAGCTTGATTCCCACACTCTCCAAGCCCTCCCCTTCCACGCGCAGCCATGTCCTGCCTAGTCAACCACAAGGTGATGCCACACTGGACACCTTCAATTCACAATGTACACCAACCCTACTGCTGCTGACATCTTTTTTATCGATCACTTGGTAGGCCTCTGTTAGCTGTTAAGCCAAATGTTCCGTCACAAGTCCGAATGTGAGATATAATCCTCATCATGGTTTTTGAATACTCAAAGTCCTCGGAAATCCCACTGACAAGTTAAAGGAAGGAAATACGACAGTATGTTGCTAACAGGCATGGCTGGGTTTGCCCTTCTGTGGGAATCCTGCCTTCTTCACACTCCTCTTCAAAGTAAAAGCGACAGAGCATGGCAGTTTAGTTGAAAGTTAGTGAATACTTAAAATCAATAAAATAGTAAACATAACAGAAACAGCAACAAAATAGTAATAGTAATAGTAATAGTAATAGTAATAGTAATAGTAATAGTAATAGTAATAGTAATAGTAATAATAATAAAGCAACCATTAGGATATTCTTTCCAGTTTGAATTTATGTTAAGCTATCTAAAAATCTGTAAGCCTATTAAATTCTGTCATTTTGTGGCTGGTCTCCTTTCCTCAAACTAGCGACATCCTGTTGCACATTTAAATCAAAGCTCTTTCTCTGCAGGTCCCCTGATCCTTTCTGTCACCCTGGAGTTAAAGCACCCTTTTAGATCCTGTGCCAGCTGATTTGAATTGCACCAGGGAAGAATTGCGGTTCTTTTATGGGGAAGATAAATCCCCTAATCATAAGGTACAACAATCCTTGAAGCCCTACGTTTACCACTCCTCCCAGGCAAATTTTTTAAAACAAATAAACCAAAAAAGGAGCTTCAGAAGCATTATCGTCAATTAAAGGGAGCAAGGAACTGTAAGTATAGAGACCCCTGTGACTGCTAGCCCATGTATCTTGAAACAAGCAGCTACAAGTAAGTTAGGAAGCAACATCGCTGAAGCTAGACATTACTTTGCTTGCCTAATTTTTAAAACAAGTGTGACTCCCACAATTTAATTGCACCGTAATAAAGCTCTACTTAAGATGGGGTGAGGGATTTGATAGTCTCAGTGAAATACGCTACTGGAGAGACTATCAACTAACAAATTTAAAAAACTGCATGTGTGTTTTCTGTGCCAGTTCTACTGTGGTATGCAATAGTTCCATCAGCCTATTCAGCACATTTTCTTCAGAGCTAGAAGAAAAGGAGCTGGAGTATCTCATGCAGCCTCTAGCAAGCACTTTCCTAATTCAGTGCCCTATAAGACGTGCCCTGACTGAGGACAGTGCAGGGGAACGAGCTGGGCACCAGGAGCAGCATTGGGCTCAGCCAGGGCTAGTGGAAGGGGGAATCTCCCACATGTTGGTCCTTGTTACTCCAGCACTTCCTTGGATGAAATAGGCACCAGTGACAAATTAAATATGGGAAGCAGAAGGTGGTACTTTTTCATCCCAAAGGACCTCTCACCAACCTAGACATAGCAACCCCTTCAACAGAGAAATGAAATTGAGTCATTTCTGGGTGTGATGGATGGGCTACTAAGCAGTGTGAAAAAGCAAGCGTGGGCTGATGCCTGCTTTTAAACCACTTGGATGGATTCTTCATCCTCCTTCCAGTGCATGCACAACTTCCTTTTCCACTGGTCTACACACACACACACTGAGTGAACTGTCTGGAGTCTAATTTACATTTGAGAGCTCCTGGGCTGTGTCAGCTCTACTGGGGATAGACGTAAGGAATGGGATTTTCATTTTGACTTGTCTCCATTTCTCTGAAGGGCCCTTCATACCAATGTTTCCATAGTGCAAAGAGGCCGGCACTGCACCCACTCTGAGACGCATTTACGCTTTCAGGATATTATAAAAGTGTCTTATTAGAAATGAGAATTTGGGCTGTCTCTGCTTCTGACAACACTTATACACTCCCAAACTATGATCTCAGCCTCTGCATTAGATTAAACACAGTCCTGTGTTTGCCTTTTGGGCTTTACAAGCCTTCAGCTATTAATTCCAGTAGATGTGGGAATAAGGCAGGGATATGTTGAAAATCTAGACAGCTCTCTTACATGGGGAATACTAATGTCGTTGGGAGCATTTCAGACTTTTAAGGATATAAATTAATCACACACCAGACTGCTCTCATCTCCTGTCTCCTTGTGGAGCTGCCTCTTTTGCCATTGGGGCTGATCATCCAAGGGAGAAACCACATTTTTTCTGTGTGTGTCTGCACGGGACCTACCACAGTGGTGGCCATACCACTTGCAATGTGGTATGCAGACCCACTGTGATACCACAGTAAGGACAACAGCTGATGGACCAGGAGATGCCCAGGATCTGAAATGGGGAGAGCCCTTCATGGAGCAATGGCCCTGGCAAGTGGGGAGGGCTGACAAAACTGGCAGCAAAGCAAAGAGGAGCTGAGAGCTGTGGACAAAGCCTTGCTGTGGGGAATGACCTCTGCAGTGGAGTGGTGTTTGGTCCTACAGGCTTCAATTCCTCCATACAAGCCCATTCATTCCTTTAATTAACACCAACTTTCCCGTTGGTTCCAGCTGATTCAGTGCTTCTACTGTGCTCTGCACTCTGATAAAAGGATGGCAGCCCTTTGAATCACCATCCCAAATAGAATAGGACCTGAAAGCGCTTTTTTTTTCCCCAAAGCATATTTTTTGCACTGCAAGCTGCAGTACAATCACAGCATGAGGAAGCAAATCCCTTCATATAGGAGGAGTGGGGAAGAAACTGGCCAGCTCAGTAGCAGGTGTTTTCCCACTCTTCAGAGCTTGCAGGCTCAAGGAGACGTATTCTGGCTAAAAAAGATCTGCCCAATCCAGGGTGCAAGACATGTTAAAGTCCAAGGAGGACGCTTTCCTCTGCCCACTGA